AGGGTGCCCCTTGGGGTGTGCTCACGTCATTGAAGAAGGAGCTGATGATGATGGCGACGCCAATGCCCTGGGAGCCCACGCCGAGCGCACCCAGGTGACGCAGCACGTCGGACAAGGTGGCCATGACGCACATCAGCTCAGGCTCGCTGGCCTGGTAGAGGCCGACCAGGAAGAACGGCATCTGTGCACGGAGCAGGCTCTCCTGCGGCCGAGAGGGGAGCAGTGAGGGGCCGTGGAGACCCACCACCAAGACACATCCTTCTGACAGTCCCCCTTCCAGAACCCCAGCCTCCACGGGCCCCACAAGCCCCCCATTCTGACCCCCATCCCTGCCCACCCCCAGCTAGGGCTGGAGAGGTAGGGAGCTCTGCCCCTCCGCTAGCTGCCCTGTCCACTGCAGGGACTAGCGTGCTGGGGTGAGGGCAGGGCAGAGTCCTGCTCCTTGCTGCTCTGCCCAGCAGGCAATGTGTGTCCAGGACAAGGCAATCCCCTCTCTGAGCCCCATTAGCCCTATTTGCCCCCTCACCATGTCTGAGGGACCTACCTCTCCACCTCTGCCTGCCTCACCCCATTCCAGAAACCCCTGGGTACATGGAGGGGGCACTGGCAGGAGTTGGGGGGCCTGAGACAGACAAGCCAGCTGAACCTCTGTGCTCATGTCAAGGTTATTGCTGTCATGGGATGGTGCTTTTGTGAGCACCACAGAGTGACTTTGGGCCTTTACAGTGCCAGTGATGGCACGTGCAACTTTGACAGTCCTCTCTGAACACTGGAACTCATTTCCTGCCAGTGAGAGCTGCCCCGTGTATGCTCGGGTCCCAGTCCCTGAGGCAGCCAGAAGGAATGGGTGGGCCAACAGCAGTCATTTGTGCTGACTGGCCTGGTCGGTACAACTTTCAAGTCTTCCTGGAAGTTTCTCTTCAAACCATGCTCCATTTAAGGTCTTATATTCCTCTTCAGCAAGTGAGCCACTCAACAGACAAACACTTGTTGAACTGGGAAGGGTCAGTGTGTCAGAACAGGGCTCCAAAGTGGGGCAGCAGGCAGGATGGAGTCCAGCAGAAGGACAGCAGAGGCAGCGTCAGCGGGCCACAGAGCAGGGTGACATGGCTGTTTAACACTGTCACCTCAAGTGAGCTCAGGGGAGGTCTTGGGGAGAAGACATATCAGCAGATATACCTGAGGAAGCCCTCGGAGATGGAGCATGGCTGAGGCCCAGGGGTTAGTGTTCTGGGCAGAGAGGCCAAGGGGCTGGGAAAAGGTCAGGATGGAAGTGGACAGGCTTACAGAGCCTCGGCTTGCACTTGGAGTGAGTGGGAGCCAGAGTGGGCTCTGTGCAGAGGAGTGAAGACCTCTCTCCCACAGCATCATGGGCAACCTCTGCTCCAGGGTATGAGGATGGTGAAATGCAGAAGGGACAGACATAGGGGCTGGCAGGGTGGGTACAGGGATGAAGATGACTGTGGTGTGCGGGTGGTGGTGGCAGCAGGAGGTGGGAGAAGTGGCTGGGCTCTGTTTGGACTGTGGTGTCTGTTGATTGACTAATAGATCAAAGAGAGGAGTCAAGGGCAACTTTAGAAGTTTGAGGGAAGAGCACTGGGATACGGGGGTGCTGCAGGGAGATTAGGGGACACCAGAGTAGATGGTTATCGGAATACTGCATGGAGATTGGGGAGGACACAGTAGTGGCATGGTGGGGTTTGCAGGGAGACTAGCGGGGTGGGGGAGTTGGCTTTGGACTTGCTGGGTTTGCAAATTAGAATTCAAGTCAACATAAAAAAAGAGCCTAAGTTGCAGCTCAGAGGTGGGGCTGGGATTCAGTTTGAGAGCAATGCTCAAAACCCAATTGCTATCGAGTTGGAAGGAGCTATGGCTGGCCCTCCAGTGGGAGGTTGTCGATTGCACGGGAGGAGATTGGCCATCTTTGTTCTGTGGAGTTCCTGGTGGACTTGAACTGCCAGAGAGGAGCCACCATTGGATTAGCAGAGCAGTGACCTATGAGAAGGGCCATGACACCAACCAGCTGACGTCCAGTTGGTTCTGACTCATGGTGAGTCCACAGGTGAGGGCAGGGCTGTGCTGCATGTGAGGGGGTGGGAGGGCTGTGCTGCATGTGAGGGGGTGGGAGGGCTGTGCTGCACATGAGGGGGGGAGCAGGGCTGTGTTGCACATGAGGGGGCGGGAGGGCTGTGCTGCATGCGAGGGGGCGGGAGGGCTGTGCTGCATGCGAGGGGGCGGGAGGGCTGTGCTGTACGTGAGGGGGGAGCAGAGCTGTGCTACACATGAGGAGTGAGGGGCAGGAGGGCTGTGCTGCACGAGGACATTTCTCTCGAGGCACCTTCTGGAGAACCTCCAGCTTTGGGGTGAGCAGCTGAATGCTCTTCAGTATGTGGCACCCACAGCCCTTCCTGATCTGTTGTGTGCTGCGGAGTCGGGACCAACCCATAATGAAAACCGGGCGGGTTTTCAGAGGCTATAAATTGAACTGGAGGAGGCTGCCCGTTCTTCTCCCGCAAAGCACTTGGTGGGTTTGAACTGCATGCCTTGGAATTCCAGCACGTCTCCTCACCACTAGGCCACCAGAGTGGAATTCAGCTCTTCAGCTCTTTTCCGAGAGGCTGTTTTCTGGGCCTCAAGCACAGTGTCTCCACATCAACAAAATTTCAGTTTGACAGTGAAGTTTATGACATTGAAAGTCGCTACATGGTGAGCAGCCTGTCCCCTGGGCCGCTGTGTGAGGAACTTGTCTGGTCCTGGGTCTCAGAGGCACTGCTTCGCTCTCTGAGGGCAGCAGTGGCACCGGCTCCTCCTCCAGCCTCCTGACAGAGCGCCTGTGGCCATTGTGTCTTCTGGGCCCTGCTGTGGTGCACCCTAACCACCACACAGGGGGACGCCTCTTCCCCAGCCCAGGCCCTCACCTCTGTTCCCACAGTTCCCCAGCTGCAGGCTGAGGATGCTGGAGGGGACCGTGTCCCTACCCTCACCCTCACCTTCTCTGGGTGGAAGAGGGCATTTCCCAGGCCCTGCAGGCTCCAGATGCGGACCTCAGGGCTGGGGTCCCGCAGGCCTTGGTCCAAGGCAGTCAGCACGGCTTGTTTGGAGAACACCTCCAGCAGGGCAGGGCTGTAGAGGAACTGGAGTATTCTGGCAGGTGGGTCAGGCCTGCTCCCCACTGGGGTCCAGGCTCATGAGTACAAGGTCCACTGCCTAAACGGTTCCACCCACTAGTGACCAACTGGGGGAACTGAGGCCCAGAAGGGGACGGGCCTCGCAGCACTGTATGCTGTGGCCCACATCCTGGCTCAAGAGGTCTTGGGATTCAGCTCTCAGGAGGGGTTGGACACCAGTGACGGGGTTCATGGGGACACCCTTGGGTATGTCCCCTCCCACCATCTCTGTGCAGCCCAGAACCCCCTCACCCCACCCTTTGACTCCAGCTGATGTCTCTTCAGCTTTGAGGTCCCATGGAGAGAGCCCAGGATGTGAGGGGTGGTGGTGGCTGTTTTAGGGGCTAAAGTTGGAGCCCTGCCCTGCCTGGCACCATGCAGAGTCCTGGGCTCTGCAGGGCGCTGTGGGGACAAGAGAAGGAGAGGAGAAGGCCCTGGCCAGAGCTTGCCAGCAGGACAGAGTCTGAAGGCCCCTCGGAGAGTGAGGCTGCAGTTCCTGATGAATGCCCACAGAGCCTGTGTCCCTCTTGCGCCCTCACCTCTGTGAGGATGAGGATGGCCACCTTCCTCTCACGCTCCTCCCCGCTCTGCAGGCTGGGCAGCAGCTGGCCGAGCACAGTCTTGACCTGGCGGCAGCGGTTCTGCACCATGGCCCTGGGGCGGCGAGGGCAGGGACAAGCCTGGGCTGTGGACACCACTCTGAGTCCACCCTACCCCTGGGGGTGTGTGTGGGAGGGAGTGGGGGGTATAGAGTGTTTTGGGGTGTGTGTGAGTGTATATGCCTGATGTGTGGAGTGTGTCGTGTGAGGGGGGTGTGTGTGTGAGGTGTGATGTGTATGGGGGTGTGTGTAGAGTGTGTGCTGTGTGTGGGGTGATGTATGTGTGTACGCACACACATGCACATGTGGGGGGTGTGTGTGTGAGGTGTGATGTGTATGGGGTGTGTGGAGTGTGTGCTGTGTGGTGATGTATATGTGTATGTACGCACATGCTCCTGTGGGGTGTGTGTGTGTGGAGTGTGTGCGGTGTACGTACAGTGGTGATGTATATGTGTATGCACACACATGCGCATGTAGTGTGAGTGAGTGTGTGTGAGGTGTGATGTGCATGGGTGTGTGTGTGGTGATGTATGCGTGAGCCCCAACATGATCCAGGCCTCATGATGCTCCCAGAGTCTGAGAAGAACACTCTCTTGGGGGGAAGTGCCCCCAGTTCTGTATCCGTATGGGCTCTGTTGGCACTTCCCTTCACACCCTTGGTGGTCCCCTAAGCTAGGCCCATGAGGAACAGAGAAGGGGCTCAGGCTGGTGAGGGCATGGGGTTGAGGGGGCCTCTAAGACTGGAGCGTGTGCACGTTTCAGGGCCCACAGCTGCTGGCAGAAGGCACTGGCCTCTGCTGTCCATATGCCCAGTCTCCTGGGCTCCCAAGGAGAGGGGACCTGGGTGGGGTTGGGAGCATACCTGGCGAGGAGGCTCACAGCCTGTGGGTAGGTGGGCATGGTGGTGAAGAGCCCCCAGGCGGCCTGCAGCTCCAGGTGGGCGTAGTCACACCAGTGCCCGGTGGTGGACAGGAGGCTCTTCAGTGCCTCCAGTGATGTGCTGTGGCCGAGCAGGGATGTCAGGCCTGCCCAGTGCCATGGGCGGTCACAGCCACCCCCAGCCCAGGATGGTCCCCAGCCTTCCAGAATGGCCCCATATGGACTTCTTCCTGGCTCCCAGCCTGGCTCCAGCTCCTAGCAGTCCTGGGGTCACCCGGGCCTGGCTTATTTGTGCTCATGGTCAGCACAGACCTCTGGTTCTTGGGGACATCTGAGCGGTCTCTGCTCAAAGGACATGGGGGGCAAATGTTTTGATTTTTTAAGTAATGCTTGTGGGGCCTTTGAGACAGCTTAGAGCAGGTGGTGGGTTCTAGGCTGGAGTGGAGAGTTCCGGACTGGAGAGCTGTGGAATGAGGGCTGATAACTGGGGAGGGTGAGGTGTAGCTCATCCTGTGATCCTTGATGAGGGAACTGTGGTCCTGCACCGCATCACGGATGTGACCCTTACAGGGGGCTGAACACCCAGCAGTCTCTGTGCAGCGTCCACAGTGACCCTGCTGGGCTGTAGCCAGAGATGCGCCTCAGAGGGCCTGGGGATCTGCTTCTGAAAATACAGCCACTGAGGATTCGGCTCTCACATCTGTGGTTGCCATGAGCGCATGGCCGCTGGTTTGGGATTAGTGATACATGTCCAGTGAGACTGACAGCAGCTCTGTACACATGGGGGAGCTCTGAGCGTGAGAGAAGGACAGAGGGACAGCCCTGCACATCTGGAGGGCCCTGAATGAGACAGAGGGATATCCCTGCACATCTGGGGAGCCCTGAGCATGACAGAAGGACAGAGGGACAGCCCTGCTCCCTGGAGGCTCCCTGCTCTGGGGAACAGACAGTGGGACATGATGCTGGGAGAACATGAGGGAGGGTGGAGGGCTGGTGTGCGTCACTGAGAGGGCGCTGGGGGATCACCCCCACAGAGGTGAGGCTGTCGGTGGGCAGCCTGTGCAAAGGCTGTGAGGCAGGACTGGGCTTGCTGGTCAGAGGACAAGTGAAACTTCGCTAGAGTAGGGGAACAGGACGTGGGGTGCAGAGCTCACAGGCCTGTGTGAGTGTCTGGTAAGGAGGGTTGTGTGAGATAATCTTGCTTAGGCTCCCACAGGGTCACATGAGAGGGTGAGGTCACATGGAGAGGGGGTGACATGGGGTGAGGGGCAGTAGTGAGGGGGAAGGGAACAGTGAAAGAGGGGGAGCAGTAGGTGAAGAGGGTGGGGGAGCCTTGAGGGGGAGCAGTGAAGATGGAGGAGCAGGAGGGCAGTAGGAGAGGAGCAGTGAGGGTGGGGGAGGGGAGCAGTGAGGGGGAGAGGTGTGTGTGAGGTGTGATGTGTATGGGGTGTGTGG